GACGCCTCACTTGTTGAAGGCACTTGGGTTGCCTGTAACGCCTCACTTGTTGAAGGCACTTGGGTAGCCTGTGACGCCTCACTTGTTGAAGGCGCTTGGCATGCCTGTGACGCCTCACTTGTTGAAGGCACTTGGCATGCCTGTGACGCCTCACTTGTTGAAGGCGCTGGGCTTGCCTGTGACGCCTCACTTGTTGAAGGCACTTGGGTTGCCTGTGACGCCTCACTTGTTGAAGGCACTTGGGTAGCCTGTGACGCCTCACTTGTTGAAGGCGCTTGGCATGCCTGTGACGCCTCACTTGTTGAAGGAGCTTGGCATGCCTGTGACGCCTCACTTGTTGAAGGCGCTGGGCTTGCCTGTGACGCCTCATTTGTTGAAGGCGCTGGGCTTGCCTGTGACGCCTCACTTGTTGAAGGCGCTGGGCTTGCCTGTGACGCCTCACTTGTTGAAGGCGCTTGGCTTGCCTGTGATGCCTCACGTGGCATGCCTGTGACACCTCACTTGGCATGCCTGTGACGCCTCACTTGTTGAAGGCGCTGGGCTTGCCTGTGACGCCTCACTTGGCTTGCCTGTGATGCCTCACTTGGCTTGCCTGTGACGCCTCACTTGGCATGCCTGTGACGCCTCACTTGGCATGCCTGTGACGCCTCACTTGGCATGCCTGTGATGCCTCACTTGGCATGCCTGTGATGCCTCACTTGTTGAAGGCGCTGGACTTGCCTGTGACGCCTCACTTGGCATGCCTGTGACGCCTCACTTGGCATGCCTGTGACGCCTCACTTGGCGTGCCTGTGACGCCTCACTTGGCGTGCCTGTGACGCTTCACTTGGCATGCCTGTGACGCCTCATTTGTTGAAGGCGCTGGGCTTGCCTGTGACGCCTCACTTGGCATGCCTGTGACGCCTCACTTGTTGAAGGCGCTGGGCTTGCCTGTGACGCTTCACTTGGCTTGCCTGTGACGCCTCACTTGGCTTGCCTGTGACGCCTCACTTGGCTTGCCTGTGACACCTCACTTGGCTTGCCTGTGACGCCTCACTTGGCATGCCTGTGACGCCTCACTTGGCATGCCTGTGATGCCTCACTAGGCTTGCCTGTGACGCCTCACTTGGCTTGCCTGTGACGCCTCACTTGGCTTGCCTGTGGCGCCTCACTTGGCATGCCTGTGACGCCTCACTTGGCATGCCTGTGACGCCTCACTTGGCTTGCCTGTGATGCCTCACTTGGCTTGCCTGTGATGCCTCACTTGGCTTGCCTGTGATGCCTCACTTGACTTGCCTGTGACGCCTCACTTGACTTGCCTGTGATGCCTCACTTGGCATGCCTGTGACGCCTCACTTGGCATGCCTGTGACGCCTCACTAGGCTTGCCTGTGACGCCTCACTAGGCTTGCCTGTGACGCCTCACTTGGCTTGCCTGTGACGCCTCACTTGACTTGCCTGTGACGCCTCACTTGACTTGCCTGTGACGCCTCACTTGACTTGCCTGTGACGCCTCACTTGACTTGCCTGTGACGCCTCACTTGACTTGCCTGTGACGCCTCACTTGACTTGCCTGTGACGCCTCACTTGACTTGCCTGTGACGCCTCACTTGACTTGCCTGTGACGCCTCACTTGACTTGCCTGTGACGCCTCACTTGACTTGCCTGTGACGCCTCACTTGACTTGCCTGTGACGCCTCACTTGACTTGCCTGTGACGCCTCACTTGACTTGCCTGTGACGCCTCACTTGACTTGCCTGTGACGCCTCACTTGACTTGCCTGTGACGCCTCACTTGACTTGCCTGTGACGCCTCACTTGGCTTGCCTGTGACGCCTCACTTGGCTTGCCTGTGACACCTCACTTGTTGAAGGCGCTGGGCTTGCCTGTAACGCCTCACTTGTTGAAGGCGCTTGGCATGCCTGTGACGCCTCACTTGTTGAAGGCGCTGGGCTTGCCTGTGACGCCTCACTTGTTGAAGGCGCTGGGCTTGCCTGTGACGCCTCACTTGTTGAAGGCGCTGGGCTTGCCTGTGACGCCTCACTTGTTGAAGGCGCTGGGCTTGCCTGTGACGCCTCACTTGTTGAAGGCGCTGGGCTTGCCTGTGACGCCTCACTTGTTGAAGGCGCTGGGCTTGCCTGTGACGCCTCACTAGGCTTGCCTGTGACGCCTCACTTGTTGAAGGCGCTGGACTTGCCTGTGACGCCTCACTTGTTGAAGGTGCTGGGCTTGCCTGTGACGCCTCACTTGTTGAAGGCGCTGGGCTTGCCTGTGACGCCTCACTTGTTGAAGGCGCTGGGCTTGCCTGTGACGCCTCACTTGTTGAAGGCGCTGGGCTTGCCTGTGACGCCTCACTTGTTGAAGGCGCTGGGCTTGCCTGTGACGCCTCACTTGTTGAAGGCGCTGGGCTTGATTTTCTTACCATATAAGAATCAAGTTTAGCTTACCTTCAGTGTTGATTGGCCTGTTGTATGATCAGCTCTTTGGTTCGCCTCAGGCTTCACTTCACTTGAAGTCGACCGGCCATTTTCACAAAGTTGTATAACATGTAACTTGTCTTCAATTGTTAGGACAACCTTCTTCCTCTTAACACCTCCAGAACGACTGATGCTGCTACCAGACAGTCTTGGCCAAAAATGTTCAAAGTTACTGTGAAAATAAAAAAGTTATTTAAAAAAATATTGGCGCAGCACTGTGGTATAACACGAGGGACGGGAGCACATGGATTGACCAGGATTGGCACGTCCACTTGGGGCAGCTATAACACGTTACGTAGGCCGCCAGGAGGAAAAACTCACAATATTTTTGAAGGAAACTTCACCCTGTGCAAATTGTTTTTAGGAATCTTATATATTTGTTATTACATAATTACTAGTATTTCTTTTGTTTTTGGCTAAGATGAATTGTTCTAAAATTAATGGTAATTCCTGTACTGTAGTGTATAGGCCACTCTCCATCCCCCTTATCCCCCCAGGTGGTCCCACCCAACGCTTCCCTCTCTCCCAACACCACCCACCCCACCCCCTCCTCCACCATGCACCTCGAATCACAGCCAGACGGGATTAATACGGTACGGCCCGCCCCATGGCTTTCATATCCGGACAATTCAATGATTATCCAGCTGACTGTTTGGATAGTGTAACATCGGCAGCAAGTTAACCGGCTCCGATTTTTTATCTGGCTCCCATGGCCATTTTGGCCGGATATTGAGAACTTTATCCGGTCATGATTTTGGCTGTATAAAGGCGTTTTCTGGATGTTCGAATCCCGGATAATCGAGTGGTTACAGTACTGGGCTGGACCAATCCTCAAAAAGAGGCAGAGCCGCGGGAAGACCCTCAGGATCGGACATCGAGCAAAGAAGCGCCCAACCAAGGCTGGCAATGAACCAGAAGGAACGACCACTCGGGAACTAGGAAGAGGCCAACAAGGAAACGAGGACCACGAACCGAAACGTGATGCAAAAAATAGTAACTCCGCAACCTGCAGGAGCAGCACAACCAGCACCAGCAGGGAAGAACGACACACTCGTCACCGAGGTATATATGAGGAGAACTACGCAGGACGCGCACCGCACTAAAACAAAAGGAACGTCCGTGAAAGGAACACAAAAGCCGTAACCAGGACTGGAAAACAAGCCCCTCCTGTCCCAACGAAAAGAACCGTTGGGGGCTGGAGTGGGTGATCGGAATCAATATCCACCTGCAGACAGTGCAAGCACCTTGTACACCACATATAAAAGACCAATGCTGAGCATGCGGCCCCAGCATGGAGCCCGTATCCTATCAAGCACAAGATGAAGCTTGAAAAAATGCAGAGGTACGCCACTAGGCAAGTCCCAGAGCGAAGAGGCATGAGTTTAGAGGACAGGCTGCGGGAAATGCAACTCACAACACGAAGACAGAAGAGGAAGGGGAGACATGAACACTACCCACAAAATTCTCTGAGAGGAATTGACAGGGCAGAGAATGAGAAACTGTTCAACATAGGTGGTACGCGAAGAAGAGGACACAGGTGGAAACTGAGTACCCAAATGAGCCATAGGGACAGTAGAAAGAACCTTTGCAGTGTCAGAGCAGTTAACAGATGGAATGCATTAGGCAGTGATGTGGTGGAGGCTGACTCTATACACAGGTCCAAATGTAGATATCACAGAGCCCAGCAGGCTCAAGAATCTGTACACCAGTTGAATGACAGTTGAGAGGCGGGACCAAAGAGCCAGAGTTCAACCCCTGCAAGCACAACTAGGTGAGGACAAAAACTAGCAGGGACATACAAGGAAAATGAAAGAACGCAGGTCCAGAACTGAACACCGGGGCAGCCCAAAATCAGGGAACTGAACATGTACCGAGGGCAACCCAGCACCAACATCAGTATAGCCAATAAGCACCTACCCAGATACACCACAATGCATAGTATAGAGGTAGGCAATATGGAATTAGGGAATGAAAAGATCCGAAAAATGGTCCAAGCACCAGGAGCTAGGGGCGAGAGTACAATGAATATGACAAACAAAGAAGATCTAATTAGCAGCCGGTAATGTAAGGTACATGACCAACCACATATACAGCGAGACTCCAATGTATAGAATGGTTGCACAGATGGCAGAGTGGAGACGTGATGACATCATGCTAGTTTCCTAATTTTGTTTGGGGAGTTCTGTCCACTCTTTCGACTTTCGGTAGCAATATTTTCACCAGAATAAGGGGTTTGTTTTGGGGTGCCTACCTTTCTGGGTGCTTATCCCGGTCGATGGCAGACACAGAATGCTCCCAACCATGGGGGAGGGGGGGTTTATAGGCCAGGTTCTGGCTTGTGGTACCCGGTAGGCAAGAACTCTTGCCTACCGGGGGACAGTATATACAGCATATCCGGGACCGAATACAGTATATCCGGGACTCGCCCAGAAAATGGTGTTTCATTACATTAAACGCTGTTTTTTTACAAATACTGTATATTTAATAAAATAGCTTTGGGTGGTTTATTAGTTATAAACAAAATTTGTACATTTTTTTAATTTCAGGACCTTAGAGATTGATCCTGCAGATATCAAAGCCCTTGGAATCACCAACCAGAGGGAGACAACAATTGTTTGGGACAAGACAACAGGGGATCCTCTATATAATGCTGTTGGTTAGTTTTCTAAAACTTGGTTATTTCATATATCTGTGCTTGGAATAATTCACATTCATTAATACCATTTGCTTAGTGGATCATTATATAAATTTTCCTGATAAAACACTTGTGATTTAAAAACATTGTATATGTTTATACATGAGTCATTTTCCCCTGTGAATCAGGAGTGGGGAATGTCTGATCCAAAAGCCATATAAGGCCTGTGAAATCATTTCGTCTGGCATTGCCAAGGCAGCTGCTGGCAGAACTCGAAATTCAGTAATTCTAGGAGCTTTTCTGTGGAGAGCCCCTTTGGCTTCTCGGAGCTATACCGGGCTGATGTATATATATTAAACCGTGGCAACAGTCAGTCGATGAAGGTCTAGGCCTACCGGAAACCAGCACCAGAACGTGGCCCCCCCTCAGATGAAGCACGAAGAGTAATGGCCCATAGACACCCCTCAAGTAATTGGAAGCAGCCTATATCTGCCATCTACCAGATCAGGCAACCAGAAAGGTAGGAATTCCAAAACAAGCTACAGCTGGTTAAAAATTGCAAACCGAAAGCTGAGCTAGCAAACAGAACTCCCAAATCGAAAATAAGCAAACAAGCATGATGTCACCACAGCTGCCACGCCGATGTCTGCGCTACTCCCCCCTCCCTGGTAGGGGGAAAGGGGGTTGACGTGGAATCTGGGTGATGGTTGGGGTCACCCAGATACCACGGCCTCTTTTCTCCAGAAGCGGCTTCTCCCGGGGCAGCTTCGGGGATTGCGCCTCAGCCACCGCGCCGCTCTCTGTGCAATTTCCCCCCCCCCCCCCTCGCTGGGAGGGGGAAGTGGGAGTTACCTTTCTTTGAATTGTTCGGGACACTACTTCTGCGTGGTTCTGTTGCTGCTCGGTGATTGCCCACCCTTGGAGTTCAACTGGGGTGGTTCTACTCCTGTTTGACCTTGGGTAGGAGGTAGTAGCGTCGCTGGCTGGAGCGTGAGGTACTATGCAGCTGTCTGATATACACATAGCTACCGGTTCTGTTCTGGAGATGTTGTGCTTTTCTGGGTTTTTTCTTTTGTTTGGTTCTGTTTTGCCGGGTGGGGGTCTGCCTGGTGTGACTGAAGAACCACTTGTATGATTTTGGTGGCCCTCTGCTAGGTTCCCATGCTTGCACATGTCACAGGGGGTTCAGCTCTTAGTTTCTTTGCTTGGTAGCTGTGGAATAACCGGTTAGCAGTACCTTGCCTGGGCTTTCCTTAGCAGTCAGCCTAAGGGCCCTGTTAACCCCCCCCCGTTGGGGCTCATTGGTCGATGTGGGGCTCGGAGGTCTCCTCCCTTGCTTCGTGCGAGTTTTAAGGTTGCTCTTTCCCTTTGCCAGTTGGTTCAATGACACCTTTGACCTGGAGTCTTGCGAGTGGTGTTCCTTGCTTCTACTCCAATTCACCCTGTCCGCTGATATTGATATTTGGGTCAGGCAGCTTCAGCGTTGCATGCATGGGTTAGGGTTCTGCAACAAGCTACGTTGGTTGCCTTTCCGGATGCCCCACAGCTGCCCCGCTTTGGTTATAGAGACCTGGACTTGGGGGTGTTAGTAGCCTCGACTTTGGTTTTGTCTGTGCCCCCTTGTCCTGTCCCTGTTGTGGTTCATCCTGCCCTGCCTTTTCTCCAAAGGCAGAGGGTTTGGAGGACAGCTCGGCCCCCAGTCCTGAAGTGGAGGATTCCGGGGCTGGGGAGGAGTTGACTTCGGGGGCTTGGGCCCCTTTTGACCCCACTTGAATGTTGGTACCCTCGGCACAGGGCACAGCCAATCTCTTGCTCCCCTTCAGAGCAGGAGAGATTGCTGAAATAGAGAGAATACAGAGAACGTATACGGCACGCATAGACAAGATAAAACACCTAAATTATTGGGATCGTCTCAAAACTCTTCAAATGTACTCTTTAGAAAGGAGACGAGAGAGATACCAAATAATATACACATATACACATGGAAAATACCAGTACTGGAGGGCCAGGTCCCAAATCTACACAGTAAAATAACAACGTACTGGAGTGAACGATATGGAGAAAATGCAAGATTGAACCAGTGAAGAGCAGAGGTGCCATAGGCACAATCAGAGAACACTGTATAAACGTCAGAGGTCTGCGGTTGTTCAACGTCCTCCCAGCGACTATAAGAAATATTGCCGGAACAACCGTGGACATCTTCAAGAGAAAACTGGACTGTTTTCTAAGAGAAGTTCCGGATCAGCCGGGCTGTGGTGGGTATGTGGGCCTGCGGGCCGCTCCAAGCAACAGCCTGGTGGACCAAACTCTCACAAGTCGAGCTTGGCCTAGGGCCGGGCTTGGGGAATAGAAGAACTCCCAGAACCCCAACAAGCAGGTATCAAACAGGTAAGATCACATTCCTCTTCCTGTCTGCTGTCAGAGTCCCAAGTACGGAGCTTGTGTATACCTTAGTTCCCCAATTTTCTAGTCCCTCAAACTTACATTTCCACTGTACAGTGGCACCTCGACTTACAATTGCCCTGACTTACGATAATTTCGAGTTACAATGTAAATTTGATTGAAAAATGCGATTCAACATACGATGGTGTCGTCGACTAAGGATATTTGTTGGTACACGTTCGGGTCGACCGAGAGCATGGTTCCCGGTCACAGGGGGCCAACCTGCCTCAGTTTACTACAGCTGCCCGCTTAGTGACGATCACGCCTATAAGAAATTCCGTTTTTGTGGTGATTTTCTGGGGAAAGCCCCGTCGGCTCCCCGGAGTTTTCCCAGGCTGATATGCTAATGGCAGACTTTGGCATCAGTCATGTGTATGGATTTCTTAGGCCTACCGGGGACCACAGCCAGAACTGGGCCCCCTCAGAGAGGCAAACACAAATATCATAGCAGGGAATGACCCGGGAAATAACCAACCACAGGTTAGATAACTTTTGAGATTCTGTGACAAATTCTCGCTCAATCAACAGATTACAGAACCAACTAGGAACGAAAACACACTAGACTTGTTATTCACAAACAATGATGAACTAATCAGGGATATCACAATCTCAGATACTTCATACTCAGACCATAAGCTCATTGAAGTGCGAACTAGCATAAATAACGGTAGTAGGTCTAAGAGACCAAACAAGCGAGAAGGAATATTCAATCAATTCAATTTCAACAATAAGAGGATTGACTGGGAAAAAATAAATGTAGACCTTGCAACCATTCAATGGGAGACGGTCTTAAGCGACAAAACTCCCACACAGGGAATAGCTCAACTGACAGCTGAAGCTTACAAGGTCTGCTTGAAGCACGTGCCTGTGAGGAGGGGCAGAAAGAGGACCACTCTAGAAAGAGAACGGAGACGACTGTACAGGAGAAGGAAAAAAATAACGGAAATGCTTCGGCAGACACAACTATCACAAGCAAGGAAAACAAGCCTAAGCAGGGAGATTGAGGAAATAGAACAAACGTTGAAGCGATCATATGAGTCTGAGGAAATGGAATTGGAACAGAAAGCTATACAAGAGATAAGGAAAAATCCGAAATATTTTTTCACATACGCAAAATCAAAATCCAAAACCTCGACCAGTATTGGACCGTTAATTACAAATGAAGGTACGTACACAGAGGACAACAAAGAGATTAGTGAAATTCTAAGAAGCCAGTATGAGGCTATGTTTAGCACACCAATAAACAACATGAAAGTTGATGACCCAGACAGCTTCTTTATGAATGACATTCAAGCTGCAGATAATATAACGGATATTACCACAAACTCGGAAGACTTTGAAAGAGAAATTGATAATATGCCTATGCACTCAGCTCCTGGGCCTGACTCATGGAATTCAATATTCATAAAGAAATGTAAAGTACCAGTAGCGAGAGCACTCAGCGTAATATGGAGAAAGAGCCTGGATACAGGGGAGATACCAGCAGCACTTAAATCTGCAGATATAGCTCCGTTGCACAAGGGGGGGAGTAAAGCCTTGGCAAAAAATTATAGGCCAGTTGCACTAACATCACACATAATAAAAGTGTTTGAAAGAGTGATTAGGAATCAAATTTCTAGTTTTATGGAAAACAATGAATTGCACAATCCAGGACAACATGGATTTAGAGCGGGAAGATCCTGTCTGTCACAGTTACTCAACCACTATGACAAAATCACAGAAGCCCTAGAAGAAAAGCAAAATGCAGATGTTGTATACACAGACTTTGCAAAGGCGTTCGACAAATGTGACCATGGGGTGATAGCTCACAAAATGAGGTCAATGGGAATAACTGGAAAAGTAGGACGCTGGATACTCAATTTCCTGTCGAACAGAACACAAAGAGTAACAGTCAATCAGATAAAATCGAGTCCAAGCGATGTTAAAAGCTCTGTACCTCAAGGTACAGTCCTTGCACCGCTACTGTTCCTTATTCTCATATCTGATATAGACAAAAATACACGCCACAGCTTCGTGTCGTCCTTTGCAGATGACACAAAAATCAGCATGAAAATTACCTCTGCTGAAGACATTGAAAAACTACAAGCAGATGTCAACAAAGTTTTTGATTGGGCAGAAGAAAATAACATGATGTTTAACAGTGATAAATTTCAGGTACTCAGGTACGGCAAAAATGAGGATCTGAAACATAATACAGGGTACAAAACACAATCGAATCTTCCCATAGTAGAAAAACAGCATGTCAAGGATTTGGGAATAATGATGTCCGACGATCTAACGTTTAGGGAGCATAACCAAGCAAATATCGCGTCAGCCAGAAAAATGATCGGATGGATTACGAGAACTTTCAAATCCAGGGATCCCATCACAATGGTTGTACTCTTCAAGTCACTTGTGCTGTCCCGTCTCGAGTACTGCTCAGTACTCACTTCCCCCTTCAGAGCAGGAGAGATTGCTGAAATAGAGGGAATACAGAGAACATATACGGCACGCATAGACGAGATAAAACACCTAAATTATTGGGATCGTCTCAAAGCTCTCCAAATGTACTCTCTAGAAAGGAGACGAGAGAGATACCAAATAATATACACATGGAAAATACTGGAGGGTCAGGTCCCAAATCTACACAGTAAAATAACAACGTACTGGAGTGAACGATATGGAAGAAAATGCAAGATTGAACCAGTGAAGAGCAGAGGTGCCATAGGCACAATCAGAGAGCACTGTATAAACATCAGAGGTCCGCGGTTGTTCAACGTCCTCCCAGCGAGCATAAGAAATATTGCCGGAACAACCGTGGACATCTTCAAGAGAAAACTGGACGGTTTTCTAAGAGAAGTTCCGGATCAGCCGGGCTGTGGTGGGTACGTGGCCCTGCGGGCCGCTCCAAGCAACAGCCTGGTGGACCAAACTCTCACAAGTCGAGCCTGGCCTCGGGCCGGGCTTGGGGAGTAGAAGAACTCCCAGAACCCCATCAACCAGGTATCAACCAGGATTGCTACCAAAAGCCGAACTAGTGGATAGAACTCCCCAACAGAAAATAAGCAAACTAGTGTGACGTCACACGTCGCCGCTGTCTGCACAGCTCCCCCCTCCCCGGGAGGGGGAAGGGGAAGTCCCAGACCCTCCACGCCGGCTACCTACACCTCAGTTCTTGAGGCTGATGCTATAGGGAAAGGTCGTGTGCTCTGGCTCCGGTGTCGCTACTGCACTGTGCTTCGCATGTGGTGTTTGCTTTTGTGGGTGCGAGAGCCAGGAGTTATCTTCAGTACTCGGGCTGCATGCGCCTAGGGCTGCCTTCCCTAGGTGCCCTGTAAGTACTGCCCTTGGGGCTTGGGGCCACCTTCCACAGGCTCCTCAGATTCTGCCTCTGCGGGTCCGTTCTACCTTTCGGTTTTTCGGCCGCCTGTTGGGTCTCTTGGGTGTTCTGTTCTCCCTTGTTACTGGAAGGTAAGAGGCAGTTTGCACTGGTAACTACCCTGTAACTGGTAACTGTGCAGCAGGGTGCTGCACAGCTTTGTATTCCTGACATAGCTGCCGGCTCTGTTCCTTGGGGTTCGCTGTCCTCTTGCGGGGTTTTGTTTTTCTTTTTCTTTTTGCCTGGTGGGGGGTTCTGCCCTATTGTTCCAGCCAACCTGCGGTCTATCCCCAGGCCCATGACGTCCGTAAGTTTACGGCTCTTGCTGCCGTCTTTGAGAATATGTCTTGGTCTGATATTCGGGAGCGGGGTTTTTGGCGGTCGAACAGGGTCCTGGCTGCTCGTTACCTTGTGAATGTCCCTGGGCCTCGTCGGGCCTGTGTTGCTTTGGGTCGGCGGTTGCAGCCAGTTGTCTCGGCTTCGAGTTGAGGAGTGAGCGACGACCGCCTCCCGGGTAAGTCCCTCTTTTTCCGTCTGTGGGTAGTTAGCTCCGGGGAGCCGACGGGGCTCCCCCCAGAAAACCAGCGTTGAATGTAATGAAACGCCATTTTCTGGGTGAGTCCCGGAGGCTCCCCGGCATCCCTCCCTTCCTCCAGTCGGTGTTTTTTTCATGTTTTTGTCATCCAGCCTCAGAACTGAGGTGTGGGTACCCGGCGTGAAGGGTCTGGGGCTTCCCCTTACCCCTCCCGGGGAGGGGGGAGCTACGCTGACAGCGGCGACGTGTGACGTCACACTAGTTTGCTTGTTTTCTGTTGGGGAGATCTATCCACTAGTTCAGCTTTCGGTAGCAATTTTAACCAGAATCGGGGTTTGTTTTGAGGCGCTTACCTTTCTGGGTGCCTGTTCCGGTCAATGGCAGACATAGAATGCTTCCAACCACGCAAGGGTTTCTATAGGCCATTGCTCCCCTTGCCTCTCTGAGGGGGCTCGGTTCTGGCTGTGGTCCCCAGTAGGCCTAAGAACTCCATACACATGACTGATGCCAAAGTCTGACATTAGCATATCAGCCTGGGAAAGCTCCGGGAAACCTCCGGGACTCACCCAGAAAATGGCGTTTCATTACATTCAACGCTGGTTTTTTGCTTTTTGAACATAATAGTAATTATTATATATCACACCATGGATCCCAAGAAAGTCAGTGGTAAGGTTCAACATATAAAAACCCATGTAAGAATCACCATTGAGCAAAAACAAGAAATCATTTGTAAATATGAAGATGGTGTGTAGGTTGTTGAACAAGCTAGGCAGTACAACAAATCTCAGTCAACGGTATCCACCATACTGGCTAAGAAAAAGGACATTATGAATGCTAAAGTGGCAAGAGGCGTATCAATAATCACGAAACATAGAACACAAACACTTGGGGAAGTTGAACAGTTGTTATTAATTTGGATGACTATGTATGTAGTGAAGACTATACCTGGTTAATACCTGGTTGATGGGGTTCTGGGAGTTCTTCTACTGCCCAAGCCCGGCCCGAGGCCAGGCTTGACTTTTGAGAGTTTGGTCCACCAGGCTGTTGCTTGGAGCAGCCCGCAGGCCCACATATACCTGGTTGGTGGGGTTCTGGGAGTTGTTCTACTGCCCAAGCCCAGCCCGAGGCCAGGCTTGACTTGTGAGAGTTTGGTCCACCAGGCTGTTGCTTGGAGCGGCCCGCAGGCCCACATATACCTGCTTGATGGGGTTCTGGGAGTTCTTCTACTGTCCAAGCCTGGCCCGAGGCCAGGCTTGACTTGTGAGAGTTTGGTCTACTAGGCTGTTGCTTGGAGCGGGCCGCAGGCCCACATACCCACCAGTGCCCGGTCGGTCCGGCACTCCTTGGAGTAATAAATCTAGTTTCCTCTTGAAGATGTCCACAGTTGTTCTATGATGTAGACTATGGTGTAGACTATGGGAAGAAATGCAAACTTTTGTTGAAACGACTCGCCCAGAGCAAGTTGTAGTAGGCCGTTGCCTTAACCTATTCAATGACACGGTGATGCATCACTATAGACAAATGTTAAAACGAAGGGAAAAAACTAAGTGTCTCTCGACAAATTTTTAGTAAGACAATGAAGCAGTGAACCACAACCAGGTCCTAGTGGTATGCAGGCAGAATGTAGGAGAGAGTGTACCCCAGAGGAATCATCACTGTCTGATGTGATAATGGAAGGGGACTCCCCTTCCAAACAGTAACACCTCTCCTCCTCCCCTCCCCCCCATCACCATCTTCCATAATCCATCAAGGGTCCTCCATACAGGTAAGATACACGTATGTACTGTATTGTAGTTGGAAAAAACAATTGTATTCAGTATAAAATGTATTTGTAAGTTAATATTTTGGAGGGTGGGGAATTGATTAATTCAATTCCCTTTATTTCTTATGGGAAAAATCGCTTTGACTTACAATATTTTGACTTATGATCCGTCTCTGGGAACAGATTACCATCGTAAGTCGAGGCCCCACTGTATTAGTAGTGCAACTCCCACTCCATCTCTTTGTCCTTTCTTTCCTTATCACCTGATATTTCCCTGGAAAAATTGCATCCAAGATCATGAAAGTTACAGGGAGACCTTGAGAAATTCCACGAGTGGGCAAACAAATGGTTGGTAGAAGTCACTCCCAACAAGTGCAAAGTAATGAAAATACGAAAGACCAATGAGGTACTGTATTTACACTTGAAGGGGAAGGCAACTACAATAATTGGAAAGAGGAAAATGTTTGGGAGTGGAGTGTGCGTGCACGAATTTGCTTTCGCTGATAAATAGCAGCAGACAAGTGTATGAGGAAAGTAGTGTCACTACAGTAACAGTTGTTTGCGTTGTGTATGTACCTATGTACAAAAAAAAAAAAAAAGAAAACCCTGCAAGAGGACAGCGTACCCAGGCGGAACAGAGCCGGCTGCTATGATTGGTGAAAAGCTGCGCAGTACCCTGCGCCCCTACCAGTGCAAACTGCCCTTTACCCCAAGGCGAACAAGGGAGACAACACCCTTTCACACAAAGGGCAGCTAAAAACCAAGCAGGTACATAGGAGGAGCTACCTATGTACCTGTTGATGATTTTGAGAATCAACATCCCTGTTGTCTGGTCTCTGACCAGGTCTCCTTTTTGCTGGACTCATCAACCCAGCTGTTTGATGTGGCTGCTCAGTCACAGTATGAGTCACAGCCAGGTTGATTGGGTATCCTTGGAAGGTGCTTGTTGTGTTTCATCAGTGTTACACATTTTTCCAAGAGTTGCTTCCTTTGGAGTGATTTTGCTTTTTGAGGTGGCTTTCTCTCTTTTGTGGCACTCTGATCCCAAGGTTCTCCTTTGGCTCTTTGAGTAGATCAAATTCTGCTTCTGGTTCATGGGAAATGTTCTTGTGTGTGTGTGTGTGTGTGTGTGTGTGTACAGACCCGGTGTTTTCTCCAACTCTTGGCCATTACCAGGTTGTAACTTTGGGGAGCTGGTTGGCCGAGCGGACAGCACACTGCACTTGTGATCCTGTGGTGCTGGGTTCGATACCAGGCGCCGGCGAGAAACAATGGGCAGAGTTTCTTTCACCCTATGCCCCTGTTACCTAGCAGTAAAATAGGTACCTGGGTGTTAGTCAGTTGTCACGGGCTGCTTCCTGGGGGTGGAGGCCTGGTCGAGGACCGGGCCGCGGGGACACTAAAGCCCCGAAATCATCTCAAGATAACCTCAAGATATCTACCGAGTGGGCCATCCCAGAAAAACTGCTCAAGTTTTAATTTTAGTTTCTTAGACGCATTTTGGACCCATATTTTCAATGAGCTTAAACAAAGTACTACAGCAAAAATGTTAAGAGAGATAATATAATTGTAAGTTATTTTGTAGGTACAGCATGTTCTAAAAAATATTCAGTTACATGGTGCAGTAAAAAAAATTTAAATCTACTGACATTTGTTTGTACTTCTAAAAATAATTTTTTTTTTGCAGTGTGGTTAGATGCACGTACTGCAAGCACAGTGGAAGAGCTATTGAAGGAGACTCCGGGACAAAACAAAGATTATGTTAAAGATCTTTGTGGCCTTCCTATTACCACTTACTTCTCAGCACTAAAATTGCGTTGGCTTTTGGATAATGTGAAGGAATACAGAGCACCACTTGGTTTCCGAACCCCTTGGGGACGAGACCCGTCGGTTAACATGTAAGTTCGTATACGAGAAATGGAGGAAAAAATAAAAAAATAATGTGAAAAAAATCTAGGGGAAAAAATCGACAGGTTCATAGCGTAAATGCGTGACCGTATTTTGTTTGTACTCACCAATAATTGAAGTCCTGATCCGCTTATGTTGATGATCGATGTTGATGAAGCATAGTTATTTACATGGAAGAGGTGGTGGTGGATGTTGATGAGTGTTGGGTTGACTGGGTCAACATGCGATGAGTCAGGTGCAGGTGATGCAATGCGAGCTTTCTTGGAAGCCATTGCAAAAGACTCTGTAATTGACATTTGTTTCATTCCCTTGGCTCTTGTTTTTAAAAACTTCATATATAAATTGTACAGAGTCATCATGTCCTTAGTTTCAAACTCGCTGTAACTCGTGCCCATAAATGCCAGAATGTATTCAAAATTTTGCTGAACTTTTTCCATATTACATTTTTCCGTTAACGTTTCTTCATCCTCTTACTCTTCCTCTCCATCTTCATTGCACTTGTCTGGCTTTTTTGCTGTACATACTAATTCTATAATTTCATCATTAGTCATGTTTCGATTGTTTGGGGCTTCTTCATCAAAATCTATCCATCTATCTATGTCATCTTCGATTGTTTCAGTCACCAGTTCTGCTCTAATCTCAGGGGACTTAATCCCCTTGACATAGGCTAGGAGTTCCTCTCTTAATTTTTTCTTCTCGCTAACTTTCTTCACCGCAAATCCTTCAAAATCTGCCTCGTCATCTTCCTCAGGAAACAGACTTGACGCGGGCCAAAGTTTTTTCCAACCATTTCTTAGTGTTGTCTGCTTTACCTCATCCCACGCACTAGCAATAGTCCAGATAGCTGACTTTATTGTGAAGACTTTATAAAAGTCCTTAAGTGTTCCAAGCTGATTGTTAAGACGTCTGGCAAACATCCTCTTGTAGTGGTGTTTAAGGTTCTTAATTATTCCTTGATCCATGGGTTGGATCACTGAGGTTGTATTGGGTGGCAAGAACGTTCCAATAATATTGCCATTTATAAGCTCATCACCTCGTGGATGCGTTGAACTGTTATCTAGCAGCAGCACAACTTTGCTGTTTTGCGGGAGACCAACACTTTTCAGGTGCTCCTTCACCTCGGGTACAAAGTTCTTATTAAACCACTCGACAAATATTACTCGAGACATCCACGCACTTGGCTGGTCCTTATAAATCACAGGGAGGCACCTGGCTGACTTTAAAGCCCTGGGGTTTTTACTAATTCCAATCACAAGTAACTTTAATTTGTGCGTGCCAGCTGCATTTGCACAGCACAACAAAGAAATTCTCTGTTTGTTCTGTTTATAACCACCTGAAGGATCGTCCTCACCACTATGAGCCATCGTTTCTGTGGGAAGCATACGCCAGTACAAACCTGTCTCATCAGCATTATAAATTTGCTCTGGAGATAAATTTTGTTCCTGCACCATCTCCGCAAATTTACTCACATACTCATCAGCACCAACAATATCAGCAGATTGTCTTTCACCATGCACTTTAATAAACCTAATGCCATGACGGGTTTTAAAACTTCTGAGCCAACCATCACTGTATACACACTTTTGAGTAATTTTCATTGCTTGGTGAAATTCACGCGCCTTTTCCACGAGGAGCCACCCTGCCACTGGCTTCTTCGTCACTTCACGTCTCTGTTTGTACCACTCCCACACTGCGTTATCAACACTCTCCACTTTTGCTTTACTTACTACCTTTCTATTTCGTATTGCTTTATCACTTTCACTTCTAGAGAAATAGTCAAAAATGATAGGTTTAGCCTTAAGATCAAAAACAGTACTTTTACTAATGCCATACTCAGCGCACACGACACTTCTCGGGACACCGCTTTCCACCTTCTTAATTATTTCAACTTTCTTTTCAAATGTCATCACTGACCTCTTTCTTTTACGTAACCCGCTTGTAGATGCTTTCACTGACACAATGCGTGCATTTGGAGCCGACATGGTGCACGGATGTTCCTTGATTGTGCTAATATGTAAAACAAAGTAACGGAATGAACACTCCAGTCTCGTGACAAATTCAAACAATGGGAACAATAGGCCGTGAGTCTGTGACGTCACAGGGTAGGCGGCGGCGCCCGACACGGTCAGTGAGCAAACTAAACCATCACCCACCCCCCCCCCACCCACCCACCACGGGCCGGCACGACGCTTGGCTGACCGCTTCCTTACCCGAGCCTGCCTGCCTGCCTCCTTCCCAGCCAGCCTGCCTGCCTGTCTGCCTGTGCCTGCCAGCTTGCCTTTCCCTCCCTAATTCTCACTACTTCCGTCCCTTCCTGCCTACCTCCTAGCATCTCTCCCTACCTCCCCCTCCCTCTTAGCATCTCTCCCTACCTCCCCCTCCCTCTTAGCATCTCTCCCTACCTCCCCCTCCCTCTTAGCATCTCTCCCTACCTCCTAACATCTCTCCCTACCTCCCCCTCCCTCCTAGCATCTCTCCCTACCTCCTAACATCTCTCCCTACCTCCCCCTCCCTCTTAGCATCTCTCCCTACCTCCTAACATCTCTCCCTACCTCCCCCTACCTCTTAGCATCTCTCCCTACCTCCTAACATCTCTCCCTACCTCCCCCTCCCTCTTAGTATCTCTCCCTACCTCCTAACATCTCTCCCTACCTCCCCCTCCCTCTTAGCATCTCTCCCTACCTCCTAACATCTCTCCCTACCTCCCCCTCCCTCTTAGCATCTCTCCCTACCTCCCCCTCCCTCTTAGCATCTCTCCCTACCTCCTAACATCTCTCCCTACCTCCCCCTCCATCCTAGCATCTCTCTCTCCCTCCCTTTCTGACTAATTATCCCCCTCTCTCACTGATTCTCCCCCCCCCCCCCCCCTCATACTGCCTCCCACCTAAGCTCCATCCCACCACCCACCAGTCAGCCATCACTGACGCAATGTGTCCATTTGGAGCCAACATGGTGCACAGATGTTTCTTGATTGTGCAGATATGTAAAACAAAAGCACAGAATGAACATTCCAGCCTTATGGCAATTCAAAATACTGTAATAGGAATAATAGGCCGTGAATCTGTGAAGTCACAGTGGGCACCCTGGACCATCTCCCACCCACCACCACAAGCTGGCGTGACGCTTGGCGGACCCCTTCCTACCCGAACTTTGTTCGGGTAGCATGACTCCCCAACCCCAATCGGGAAACTGGAAGTTTCGGATAACTAAAGTTCGGAAACCAAGTGGTGCTCTGTATAATATACAGTAATATACCACAAAGTAGCAATGCTCTTGGATGTGTAAACTGTTCAGTACTGTATTACATCGCCAATTTTCAGAATTTTGCAAGTCCTTCAGCTCTTAATTCATGTGAAGTATATTCATTTCAGTCTGTAACTTTTGCATGTATATTCATTCCACTTTTATAATAGAGTATTTTCCTTTGTACATCATCATGCAACACTTTCTCTTAAGTAAGTTTATAAAACAATTAGATTTCTGTATAAGGATGTCTGCTATTAGGCCCTTTCTTCTCAAGTGTACTCTTGTCATCAAGCAGCTTTGTTAAATAACAAACCATTTTATTCCTGCATTCTGGAACACCAGTTAGCTTTAACAATGCTAATTATAAGAATAACAGTACTAATTACACTGTGTCCTTGCTTGAATGAACTATATAAGGTGAGGCCGATTCCGTCTACCAATCAGCCCCAGGCTATCCCTCCCCGCCATGAGAAAAGACCAGAAGTCCTACATCCACTATAAATAAAATATCTATATGTATTTATTATTTTGAATATGGCACATGATAGAACAGTCATTGGTGAACAATTTCATATCAAAATCATAACTGTGACTATTATTGGTGGCTGCAAATATGACGTAATGGCCTGGATTTCCATAAGCGGACTGTATCAATCTTGAACTAAATATTCATATAAAAAAAATCATTTATTATGAGTTTTTCGTTTTCACTATGGTTTCTGGGGAAGCCCCTTCGGCTCCCCGGAGCTATCCAGGCTGATATGCTAATGTCAGACTTTAGCATCAGTCGTGTTTGGAGTTCCTTGGGCCTACCGGGGATCACAGCCAGAACCTGGCCCCCTCAGAGAGGCAAGGGGAGCAATGGTCCTATAGAAACCCCCGTGTGGTTGGAAGCATTCTATGTCTGCCATCGACCGGGTCAGGCACCCAGAAAGGTAAGCATCCCGAAACAAACCCCTATTCTGGTGAAAATATTGCTACCAAATGCCCAAATGCCGAACAAGTGGATAGAACTCTCCTAAACAAAACGAGCAAACGATCATGACGTCACACGTCGCCTCCGTCGTCTGCGCAGCTCCCCCCCTCCCTAGGAGGGGAAAGGTGGAGCCCCAGACCTCCCACGCCGGCTGTCCACCCACAGTTCTTAGGCTGATGCTAGAGGCTGAGGTCGTGTACTCTGGCTACGGTGGTTGTTTCAGCACTGTACCCAGAGTGTGGTGTCTGTCTTCTAGGTGGTGCATGAGCCGGGAGTGATTCTCCAGTACTCGGGCTGCATGCGCCTAGGGTTTCCTTCCCTAGGTGCCCTGTAAGTACTGCCCTTGGGGCTTGGGGTCACCTTCCACAAGTTCCTTGGGTTCTGCCCCTGCTAGGCCATTTACTGCTTGTTTTTAGCTGCCCTTTGTGTGATAGGGTGTTGTCTCCCTTGTTAGCCTTGGGGTAAAGGGCAGTTTGCACTGGTAGGGGCGCAGGGTACTGCGCAGCTTTTCACCAATCATAGCAGCCGGCTCTGTTCCGCCTGGGTACGCTGTCCTCTTGCAGGGGTTTCTTTTTTTTTTTGTTTGCCTGCCTGGTGGGGGTCTGCCTTGGTTCTCGCCCCCTGTTTACTGCGTACTCTTCCTTCTTCCGGTGGTTTCCCCTGCTAGGTCCCCGTTAGTGTACATGTCCCAGGGATTCAGTTCTTAGAAGG